ATGGCTACTCCCTATTGAATTTACTAACCCTTGAATGCAAGGAGGGTTTGGATTCTCAAATCCAACCTACTATGGGTTTTGGGGTGGGTAGGAGTTAAGAGGTTTAGGGATGTGGATAGGGTCTAGAATTTACAAAACCCTTGCTAAATAAGAAAAACTAGAGAGATCACCACATCTTTGTGGAGGATTAAGCTCTGAACCTAAAACTTCCAAGACCAGAGTCTTCAAAAGCTAAAAACCTGAGGCTTTACCTCTTCCTCCTCTTCCCCTACCCCTAATTGCTTTCCCACCTCTTCTATATGCTTTTAGAGAGATATCCACGTAAAGGTTGACGAGCCTATGTAACTTTCTACTACTAGAGAGGCCCCCAAATTTCAATGCCTCATCAGCTTCATCTAGTGAGTTAGAACTTTCCAAGTCATCATCGTCCTTACCCGTCCCCTGTCGACTACTACCCATCGGAGCACCCAGTTCAATCGCGAAACCAAGAACTCCGGTCCCTTCACCACCACTCTTTTGACAAATATCTCCTTGTGCACTTCTACTGTCAGCATTTTGGGAATCTTGTGCATAGCGGAGGCCCAAATCAGCAGCTTCACAGACTTGGTGTCCAACTAGAGCAGATTTTACTTCGCCACTCCTACAAAATCGAGTTTAGCTTCAATCAGTGCAAATCCATGCTCAGACTGTTCGAACACTCTCTTGCAGCATTGCATTGGGAATATCTCACTAGGAAATAAAGCTCATTAGTATGTAGATATTCCCGATGCAAGGCTGTAAAAGCTGTTGTAGTGGACGTTGCACTGACTGAAGCTGATCTCTCGGGAGACCAAAGCAACATGCTCAAAATTCCATGATCATCGCCATTTGTTTATGTATATCGACTGTGTTACCTGAAACCTGTTTGCAGTAAGTCCACTTTACTCTTCTTTCTCTCTTCCACAAGTTGGTGTGATGGGGTGGACTACATGCCTAAACTACAATTCCATGATCATCATCTACATCATTGAATCTTATCTCAACTATATGGGATGGAATACATGAATCATGTTTTGCTAATTAGTTCTATTTAATATAATGAGTCCTTAAAAACAAGGCTAAGTCAAAATGGATAAAAGGGAACATGAATTGGTTGTCTTCATCACTGTCTTCAAAAGTGATATAACAGGTTTTGTATTTGGTAAGAGGGGTAATTTCAGTCCACTTCATTGGACATTATTCAACAACAACAAAAAAAAGACTTTGTATTATCAATTGATCTTTCAGATGATGAAACACAGTTAGATTGTCCAATTAAGAAAATTTCACGAGATTTTCTGGGTAACAGTCATGCACATGAATATGATGTCATGGACAACAATTTCATATATTGTCCAAGAAGTCGCTTGTAGTTCGGTGGTCACTTAGTGCCTAGAAAATAGCAATAGGGTAGGGTAGAACGAGGTTTTTGTTCCTGTCTCGTACTACAATGGGGTTAGAAATCCCAATCCCATCCCATCTCCATGGGAATAGGGATCCACGAATTTGTCTCATCCCGCCCGACTTAGCCGTAAACTTTTTTTTTCTCTAATTTACACAATGATTTTCTTTGGCTGAATAGCTCCTGATGGGGGGTAATTTGGTCCTCCGAATCATGTTGCGACACGTGGACTTCAAATGATACCTCAGTGCTGACTAAGCAAACCGGGTTAGCAAGTTAGCACCTCGTCCAGGTCAAGCTAGCAGGCCTCCTAACTCAAAGCGACCTACCTCGAAAGATCGGCTGAGTTGTAGCAATACATGGTGACCTGCGGGCAAGCTTGCAGGCTTGTCTCGAAGAAATGTTACCAGCCTAAGATCTTCGAAGCGTTAATGATACGACCGTTAGGCCGACCTACCGCATCGCACATCTCTGAGTTACTTGGACAGATCGTAACCCTCATGCAGAACATGTAACCGATAAAATAATTCACCAGATCAAGCGGAAACGGCTCCGTGAAAAGAGGAGACCCATTGTAAGGGATGAGAAGACCCGTTGTATGGGGACTCAGACCACTAACGTTATATAAGGAACCCATTTCTACTTTAAAGGTACGCATGATTACAAACTCTCGAGCTCTCTCATTCTCTCAAATTAAGACTTTCAGAGCACTCTTTGACTTAAGCATCGGAATGCCCACTCTAGGTAAAGACAACCCAGGCACTCTAATACTCCTTTCTTGCAGAACATATCATCTCAACCAGATCACGCTACATTAATTGGTGCCGTCTGTGGGAACTGTTACAAAAAGCTAAATACTTGTTTTTTTTCAAAAAACTTTAAGGACTACTGATTTCTTCAAGCAACCAACCCACCAATAACAATCAAGTACCTACTATGATCATCAAACAGATTGATGTCCCTCTGAACCCTGCCATCGTACCATCGAACGCACCTCCCCTGCAATTGAGCCTGCAGTGGCTCCTACTGGGGTTTACGTGCGCTAGTTCAACGACCTGGTGTAGTGTGTGCTAGGGATGAATGATCAACTCAAATTCTGGGAAAGTAAGTTAGCCTCCATGGTGGAGGGGGGGGGGGCAACAACAGTAACAACAACAACAACAACAACAACACCAGCCTGGACACAGGCAGCAAAACCAGTAGGTACAACCACCCCAGTAGGTACCGCAACAAAATGCCAGATTGAGTCAAATTGACAACCATGACCTGGCCCCAACCCGGGTTCCTAGTCAGATCTAGGCCTCAAACCAAGTGCCTGGGCCAATTCACAACCAACCCTCAGTTGACAAAGTCCTCGGCCAAAATCAGAACCAGCTACTGGTGGAAAGTCGAGCTACGACTCCCATCAGAGTAGAGGTCGCTAGCTCATTTGAGGGATCCAAGAGAAGGCGTCGAAGACGTGCTCACTGTGCCACAAAGATAAGTCAGCTCGCCCCAGTAGGGAGAGTGATGAACAAGAAAGCAAACAGCAAAGCGACTAGCCAGGTAGGCGCTTCATCTAAGCAACCTCTCATAACTTGGGAGTCACCACTTGGATGGGAAATTCTCTAGGCCTCGAGGCCAAAGAACTTCAGAGCACCTACCTTCGAGACCTACAAGGGTGTAACAGACCCGGTCGAGCATGCTGACGGTTTTCAAGCTCTATTGCTGCTTCATGGGGCTAATGACGCGAGCATGTGCATCGCTTTTCCTACTACCCTCAGAGAAGAAGCTCGACTCTGGTACTCAGGGTTGGCTCCTGGCTCCATAAAAAATGGGAACCAGTTCGCCAACCTACTCATCACACATTTTATAACAAGTAAGAAACATTCTAAATCAGCGACCTGCTTGCTAAATGTAATACAAAAACTGAATGAAACTCTTTGGGAGTACATAAGATGATTTAACGTGGAACGTCTGCAAATCCCAAACTTGAACCCGACTGTATAGCTTACCGTGGCCAAGAATGGCGTACGTCACCCCGACCTATGCTGGGAGATAGAACTAAACCTGCCATCCACTATGGAAGAATTCCTTGACGTAGCGGAAAAATTTATAAAGGCAGAAGAAGCACTAGGACCGCAATCCGAGCTGTCTAGAAAAAGAAAGTGAGCTAAAGAAAAAGCAGGCAACAACAATTCGAAAAGGAGAAGTTAGTCTCCTAAAAGAAGCAGGCCACCAAGAAGCCGACGAAGTAGCTCGCCTAGAAGAAAGAGTAAGTCTCCTTAATGGGGTTCAAACCAATGATCTGGAACCCCACCATTGTACAATAAAACCTTTACCCCCCCTAAATGCAAAAAGGGGAGAGATATTAATGCAAATAAAATCAACCAACTATGTAAAGTGGCCGCCCAAGATGAAGGGCGACCCAACCACTAGAAACCCCAATAAATATTGCCACTTCCATTGTGACATCGTCATGACACAAAGAACTGCTGGAACCTGAAGAATGAGATTGAAGACCTAAACCACCGAGGTTTCCTTAAGCAGTTTGTGAAAGATGAAGGCCGACTTGCTGAGCTTGGCAAGGAAGCACCTCAAACAAATAGGGAGCAAGAAGCAGCTCCCAGGAATCAACAGCAGGAAAGGCCTGTTCGAGGGGTCATCAACATGATCACCGGAGGGTACATAGTAGCTGGATGCACCACCTCAGCCGAAAATAATTCAGTCAGGGAACTCGAGCATGATAGTGACAATCCGCTAAAGTGCCCTCGAAGAGAAGAGGTGATCTATTTCACAGAAGATGACACTCGCGGAATACATTATCCACACGACAACGCCTCGGTAGTGAGATTGTTAATCAACAATTTTGAAGTGAAGAGGATATTGGTCGACTCTAGGAGCTCCGCTAAGATCATTTTCCTGGAAGCCTTCGAGCGCATGGAGTTTGGCAGAAAAGACCTACGACATACCCCTGGTCAGCTTCAGCGGGGAAGTAGTCCGGCCCGTTGTCTAGGTGAAGATACCGGTTGAGGCGGGTTCGCCTCTAACACAGTTAGGTTTGATCACGATTTTCTAGTGGTCGCCACTCCCTCCCTGTATAATGCCATACTGAGCCAACCTATCCTGCACGCCCTCCAGACAGTTGATTTGACATATCACTTGACAGTGAAATTCTCTACTAACAAAGGCATCGGAGTGCCCACCCCGGGTAAAGACAACCTGGGCACTCTAATACTCTTTCTTGTAGAATAAGTCAGCTTGGCCACATCTAGCTTGGTCTAGCATAGCTCGGCCCTGACAAGAAACCATCCAAATTAGCATCTGAATCATCTGACACGAGGGAACAGCCAGATTGCGTTACATCAGCTCCTAAAGTGGAACTCTAGCTAACACGTAATTAGGAAGGATAATTCAAATTAACGAATAGAAGTTGTGGCAACAAGGCAAACAAAAATGGTTCAAGAGGATAAGTTTGCAATTATCTTAATCATGCCTAAACTTTTCCCTCAAAAGAATAGTTTCCCTAATTCATACATATATATAGAGTATTGATCATATATAAATTTGATTGTCATACCTTCTTGTACAAATACTAAGATAATGAAACAACCCAATACAGTTCCCATCTTTTATATTATTATACATATACAAATATATAATGAATACTCCTTTTAAAGAGAAACCAAACAAATTAGTTATGACTTGCGTCAAAGAGAACACCTTATGACCACATAAAGAAAGAAGGAAAAGTTTCTGATATCAAAGGCGCCTTAAGCTAGCTTCCCTATGCAGTTCTAGTCCAGAGAGTAGCAAATTTGTTTGAAGAGCTCGACGTGTTCATGCAAGAGAGCAAGGAACACATCTACAGCACCTTCATCTTTGCAGGAGGGCACAAAAATTAGTAACCCTTCAACAGGCAAATCTGGAGGAAGAAAAACACAAGGCCCTCCACCACCAAAGTCAAGATCATGGAAATGGAACCTCAACCAACTATCCACCTCCAAGTTAGGACACAACGAATCTCCAATCTCTGGTGCTGTCGCAACCATTTCTCCCTCTTTTCCTGTAGATAACTCTCCGAAGTCAATGAATGAATGGAAATACTCATTGTCAACTTTAGCCACAGCCTCATGGATTGCCTTGGCGACGTGCGCATGACTCTCATTTAACAACTCTTCCACCATCAACCTTGGATACGCCCAGAGCACCAAATTGCCAAAGAACTCCATCGGCACAGGTGGCTTCATTCGGGCGCGGCCGTTCACGGCCACCCTCACTTGGGTGAACTCGTCCTGTGCAAGGCCCCGTGCTTGTGTGATCTTCTTCCACATATGTGAAAGAAGGCATTCGAAAGTGCTGAAGCGTTGGTGCCCTTGGCATACTTTGGTTTTGAGCTTGGTTATGAAGTCAGCTGAGAGGTGGACTACCAAATTGGCAATGGAAGATGAAAAATTATTAGTGTTCGATGCAGTGCTCTTTCGGAACTCAATGGAAGAATGATCGAACTCCACTTTGGGTGGGTTTCTTGGGACAGAAACAGCAGCTCGATCGTGATAGGGAAGCGTTTCAATGTCGAGCCCACGCATTAGGCTTGCCCAGGAGATGGTGAAGTAGCTCATGGACTGGCCATCTGCAACACGATGGTGTGCTGTTACGCCTATCACGACACCACCACAGGCATAACGATTGAGCTGAATTTGGAGTAATTCTTGGACACCCTCTAAAGGTGGGAGGAGGTTGCCCACCTCCGAGGCTGGACTGAAGGGCAACTGCTTGGCCAGGGATGTTGGTACATAGGTCTCAATTACTCGGACACCGGCGTTGTTTAGAATGATACAAGTGCGGCCATGATCGTCGGTTATGAACCGACCTGCGAGCTGGGGATAGTGAACAAGAGCTTTGGAGAGTCCCTCCTTCATGGCTTCATTAGATGGCGTTGGTGCCCTGAAGGCATACAGGACGGGGACATGGATATCAAAGGCTGCTTTGTCAAAGAGGTTGAGAGGTATTAGATCATTGGAGGTGGGAAAATCTGGGGAAGAAGAAGCCTTCAAGATGGTATTACTGATTAACCCAATAGCCATTTTTGAGCTTTAATTTCCTACAATGTCTAATATTGCAGGCTCTAGGAACTTTTTGCCAAATAATTAAGGCTCTGGTGCTTCTCCAAAACAATTGATTTATTTTATATAGAGAAAACAATGAAGTCAGGGTGAAGCAAACCACCGTGTATTAATTTGTTAGTGATAAGGTTTGCACTTTAATAAATGATAAGGTCTTCATTCATATCATGTTTGATGCGTTGGATTATTTTAATGCCTCTAAAGAAAGAACCCTGGGCCTATGTGTAAGCCACTACTTTCCATGTTGAGATGATGCCCTCTTTTTCGGCGAGTTCTTGACTACTGTATTTTGCAAGAGAAATATGTTAATTAATCATCGGATGGTTGAAATTAATTGAAGCATCATGATGCTGGGCTTATTGGCTACTCAATGGGTTAGGATTAATGGGACTATGGTCCCTCATGATGGGCTAATAAAAATATTGGAGTTTGGTGGAGGTCAAGGTCAAAAGTTTTAAAACAATGGGTAAACAACTCGTTGTCAAGATGAGATGACTCGGTTTCCCCATTTCCACTTGGAAGGTGGAATTTCATTCTTCGTCAACGTTTACAACTTACAGCTACTAATTACCACCATGCTATATATATTGGTTCTTAAACCATATTAGCACCTAGTATTCTGGTCTAAGGCTTCGTAAGACCACGACTGAATCCTCAGTGTGACGATTCAATTGCGGTTAGTGGTGGTGGCCAATCCCCCAATGGAAATATTTTCATAGCACCTTCATTCCTTCTTATTTTATATTTCTAATTAGCGGGGATCCCAAGGAAAAGTAAAACAGTGGAAACTGATAATTATAATAATTTGTTACAAAAAATAATTTAGTAATTTAGATTGATTACATTAATAATTTTTATTAAAAATAATAAATTACTACTAATTATTTAATAAATAATTGTTTTTTCATATTATCCATTAGTATTCTATTTTAGTTATTTTACTTCATTAATAATTAAATTAATCCATAAATTATTTGTTTAGTCATAATTCAATTAATCTATGCCCAAGCCCAAAGTTTAAGACTTTAGGTTAGGCTTTGGTTGATCCTCAATGTGATCCAATCCCTTAAGTTGCACCTAGAGCAATGCAAAATTTGTAATTAGACTGAATTAAATCTAAGCATAATCCATGTTTGCATTACTTTTAAGTTTTTAACTATTTTTAAATAAAAATTATTAATATTGAACCAGAAGAAGCTATGGGGTTGAGCTACCCTCATTGTGTAGCATAATGAACAAAAAACATAAAAGATCTCAAACCAGATTTTGATAGTGTATTAACAATTTTATAGGTTGTTTAGTCCAACCTAGCCCGCACTCTAAGCATAATAATATTTATCTGGGCTTGGGATAGGGACAAGGTCGCCCATAATTATAAAACTATGGAAATGGGGTGGGGACCATATTCCCCGTCCTCGATCCCAACTTTGAAGCAAATCTCTGTCCTTAACCCCGATCCCCACTGGGGATAAATATGACCCTCTATCCCTGATTCCTAGCGGAGACAGGTTCTTTACTGGAAACCTGAATCCCCAAAATTTTTAAATTAAAATCATTTAAAATAATTAAGAGAAATTTTTTAAAATATAAAAATATTTTAAATATATTTTGATATAAAAACTATTGAAGGGGGGTGGGCGTTATCTACTCATCACTTAGGTTTGGCTCAAAAGTTTATTTTTGAACTATATAACATGAATGGTGTTATTTTTTTTTTTTTTGATATTCGGTGCCATGCACCATTAATAACTTTGTGGGGTGGGAAATATGAGAACCCAATAAACATGTGATATTTGATAGTGGTTGCAACACCATTTTCTTAACTCCAAACTTTACTCCAGGTGGAGGTGGAGGGGCAGCTAAGACCTTGCAATTTTATTAACCGGCCACTATCCAAGGGAGAATAAATATAAACGGGGAACCACATCAATCTTCATAAATTAGGACTCTTATCTTGAAAGTCAGGCTAATGATAGAATTATAAACTCTCATAGAACCATGAGCAATACCTTCATTTGCTAGAGCATTAGCATTTTTATTTGCCTCTTTGTAGGCATGAGAAAATTGAATATGTTGTGCCCATTAATCAAGGTCTTGATCTTGTAGTAGATGTATTAAACTAACCATGGGGTGGGGCTTTTACCTGTCATGATGTTAATCATAGTGCTGTTGTCACTTTCAATCTCAATGTTCAATTCAAATAACTTAAATTGATGAGTCTTTGAATACTTTCCAAACAGCTAGAAATTCAGCTTGCAACGAATTACAATCACCATATGAATTACAAAAAGCATTAAGAAAAATTTCATTTGCTATCCCTAATTATTACTAGAGGTGTAAATCAGGCCGTGTTGCCCGTGGTCTGGCCCAACTTTGGACCAATTCGGCACGGCCCTACATGATAGCACGTGGGTCGTGTCAGGCCCGATATAATGGTCCATGCCATGTGGGGCCTAGGGTTTTAGGTCTGTGGGCCGGGCTGTGTCACCCGCTGCCTGCGTGCCAGCACGACCCAACACGACCCATATATACTATTTATACATATTTTATATAATATTTATATATTTTACATATATTATATAAATTATAATTATATAATAGTATATAGTATATAATATATTAATAAAATAAACAATTGTTTTCAATTTTATTATACTAATTTATTTAATTATTATATATATATAAGCAATTGTATACATCAAAATTCATATAAAATTAAAATTTTAAGTTTTTTTTCAATTTTTTAAATAAATAGGAAAAAATAACTTTGGCCCGATCCATGGCCTGGCTTGGGCCAAGGCTGGCCCACGAGCCAATCCGGCCTGCAGCACGGCACGAGCCCGAACGGACTTGGGCCATGGGCCATGTCGGGCCGACCCCCAAACTATTCACTTGGGAGGGCGGCATGGCCCACACTTTGCATGGGTCGCCTGTGGGCCATGGCGTGCTGACTCGACACAACCCACTTTACACTTCTACTTATTACTCCATCCCTTGGACTAGGATTTCCCCTTGCAAGGCCATTGGTATTGGGTTTATATTTCCGACTAATCCACTTACGTTTGGTTTGTGGATAGGACCGGAATTAGAATCAAAATCCTTAGGAATCACTTATTCCTTGCACCTATTTGGTTCAGTCAGGAATCAAAATCGGATTCCGATTGTTACTATTTGGTTCAACTAGAATCTGGAATCGGAATCAACCAAAATTTCCAATTCTGCCCTTGTTAAAAAAAACCTAAAAAACAATCACTCATTGCATATCTTCAACATGTACACACATCGACAACCTGCTAACAAGTGCATATATGGAGAAAATATAAAGAAAAAAAGAAAAAAAACACATAAACAAACAAAAATCGCAAAAAAAAAAATCATTTTCCACCATAAGAAAATGAAAATAAAAATACATAAACAAATAAAAATCTCTACAACTCTATGATAAACATCCCCAAGAATTTATTCAGCTTGAATATATCCATGCATTGTTATCTTCTATATCACCGTCAATAAATAAAAAATTTAGCCTGTCAACAATGATGAATGTAACATCAAATACATATGAAAGTCCCTCGTAGTGGTGGCCACCACTTCAGACATGAGACATATTGGAAAAGGAGCCAATTGCTTCCATTTATAATGGTCCCTACGAGATATAAGACATGTATTAGTTGACTAGAAAAATTTTGGAGTTAGTTTCAAACCCCATCTCAACTTAAAAAAAAAGGCAAAATTGATATTTCCTGTTTTTAAACTACTATATAATTATTGGAATAATGGTTCAAATATTTTGAAGAAATTTCAAAAAAAAAATGAAGTAGAAATAAGGACTGAACTTACATAGTTCAAGATAATGGTTCATGATAAGCTGGACATATAAGCTCCCTTGCACATACTTGGATGAACCTGCATAACCAGGTAAATGAAGTTGTTTGTTAGAAAAAAATTTGGAATATACTAATCTTATTTGCCTGTGTTATGTGCAACTCCCTCCCAAGTTGGTTCCAGCCTCAAGCATACAGAACCAAGTCATTAATTGTGGATCTACGATCCTTCCGTAACAGAATCAATCAAGTGTTTGATTCCAACAATTCCTTTGACTCCTACACAAGTCACATTAACTCTTCCAAGTCAACCTTCATTAAATCTTACCCATAATCCATGTCAACATTTGGATGAAAACCCATTGATATCAACAATAGATCAAAGAGAACAGTCAGCCAAATTCTATGGTTTCCCCAAAGAAATATGGCTCCCTATTCAATAACTAGGAATTTTGTATTTTTGTCAAGGGCATTAAGGCATCGGCATTCCTTGAAAACCAGATGAATAAATCAATCATTATTTTTGGTGATGTCCTTCGGGGTGATGAACTCCAATGAGGTTTTACGGATAGTTTGAGAATCCCATTTTGATTCCATTTCAATATCGTGTGAGTGTTAACACTCCTATTAATCCCATTTTATATTTCAATACTTGTTAATAAGATGGAATTACAGGATACTTTGATGACAAGATCATTAATTGATATACGCTTCCCACCTGAAGCTTAGTGTAGATAATTAAGTTGGCTGCATAAATTGAGGTACAAAATATGAGTTGTGCAGATTAACCATCACAAGCAGTTCAGACCAATTTCTTTTTCTTATCAGAAACATTCAGATCGTATTTATTTTATATTTCAAGAAATGGAAGATAACAACAACATAAATTTGTCAACACATGTGTCCACTATCAAGTAGTAATGAGGAATAGTTTGTTTTGAGAGTAGCAAGTGTGAAGCTGTGACCTGTCAAAGACAGGGTAAAAGAGATGATAAAGTTGCCATTTCACCATGTTAGGTCTCTCTATATATTCCTATTAACATATGAAATAAATAAGCTATAGATGATTACTTTTCTTATCCGAGTGTGGAAGGTTAGTGTAGTCCATTGTTTTTGCTACTGTTGTGTCCTTGATCTTGGAGACTAGAACTGAAAATTCCTTTCTGCTGGAAGCTACAATATAGGAAAAAACTAGTAGAAAAGTT